ATTGCCGAAATCTCCACCTGTGCTGCCGAAGTATGTGCAACATGTCAATGAAACCATTGAGGGCTTGAAGACCGGGTACTATCCACGGAAAAGCCCGCCACCAGGGCCAATGAACGACGCTGGGGCCAAGGCGGCGGCGCGGGGGACAGCGGCGATGGGAACTACATCCAAAGGTTCGTCTTCGTGCTCAGGCCAGGAGGTGTCCAAACGACCTGCTCGAATGGGATCGGCGTGGCCAGAAGAATATCCTCCTTGGGTGGTGGCACCAAAGCTTGGACCTCTTCCGCATCCATCAGAAGGGCCTCGGGATGACCCACATAGAGCTTATCCTTCACCATGGGATCGGCCACATTGGCCTCCGGTGCCTCGGTTGGTTCCACCGGTGGGAGACGAAGGAGACACCTTGGTGATTCAGCCATCGCTTTGGTGGAACCAGGAGCTCTTTGACAAGGTGCAGCGACTGGTGGATGAAGAAGCCACGAAGTTTCGACCAGTTCCAAGGACAGACGCTTGGGACTATCTTCGCTTGCCGCTGGAAACGTGGATGGTCCGACGGCACAGTTTGAGGGTGCAGCGATTTCACCCAGAGCATCGATCCACACCTGAGGACATGAGAGACCTCGAGTATCTCAGGGTGACGGTGGCTTGGCTGCTCAACCAGAACACCATGAAGTTTTCTGAGCGGCTGATCTATGTAGATGCCGAATGGCACAAAGATGGTTTGCCAAATCTGCACGGCAAGTGGTGTGGATTTAGCTTTTTCTTGGTCAAGGACCGAGTCCATGTTGCGACATAGATCGCAAGGGGGAGCGTGAGTCGGCCGAAACGCATGGACCACGTGAGACCCACAAAACAACCTGGCGAAAAACCGCCACAACGTTTGGCTCAAGAAAAGGGCCGCACACACGAACGTGACGCCACTCCCATGATATTCAATTATATTCACATTGTGTGTGTGTGTATGTAATTGTATGTATGTATATATATATATATGCTAATTGTAATATGCATGGAGGATTTGGCTTCTTTTTCCCATCCTCGTCCTATCAAAAACCATGATGTCATATGGTATCCACATGCAGGGGTGCCAGCAGAATCTTCCCACTATCCAACGATTTGAATCAATTTGGATCAAACAACCCTCACCCTCACTTGAGGTCTTGTGGTGAATACCCAAATATGCCAAACTGGTCCGACTAGGGTTGCTTCTGACAAAGTTCAGTCGTCCTTGCTCCGTCGACTGTCCTTCAACCGACTTTGAGGCGAAGGATGCTCGGTTGCCCTGTCTTAGCATAGCTTGAACTGCCCCCTAGAAGCCCGCAATTTGGTGTCTTTTCCTGATCAATGCATCTTCAATGGTCATCTCGGAGATGCCATTAAATAGCCTTGCGGCAGCTGAAAAAAAGAAGTGTACCCCCTCCAGTCTCACCCAGTCTGTCTCCAACGGCTGCCCTTTCCGAATTTCCACTGCATATCTGAACAAGCTCAAACAGCCTCAGCCTCTGCTTTTTCAAAGGAGTGGGTACGGATACTGCATTCGCACAGCTGACGATTGATGCACCACGGGGCGCTCCTCATTCGCACACATCTTAATTACACCACCTTTGGGCGTGGCCAGCAAAGGCAGGAGCGCTGCATGTACGAACCTGCAGCGGGATAGCGAACTCGTGCCACTTTCTGCCATGTTCAAAGAATCAGAAAGAATGAGCATCCTCTTTTGCTTGAGTCGTTCCGTTTCGGTGTCTATCGTTACGTTTCACTCTGCGGTCCAAGGAGTCCAACTGTATTACGGTCATGACGTGACCTTACCCCAAATCAAATAGCCCACTGTGTTGGACACACGGTCGGTTTCACTCGCCCAGACCGGAATTCACGGTCGTCACCTGCCCAACACATGCTTCGCCAGCCCTGGGGTGCAGGCTGTGAGACTGTCAAGCTTCCCATTTGGCACATCTGTGAACGCCTTCTTCTTACTGCCAGCGTCCCGGAATCACAGCGATTCCCTGGGTGTGGCAGCATTAAAGTAAAATGATTGTGAATCCCCGCGTGACCAACTCAATCAACACCTCTTCAGGTGTCTTCTGATTCTGGAAAAATTGGGCTCAATTCAGGTTCTATGACGTTTCATGGAGTTTGTTGATATGATGAGACCTCGCTCCAAATCAACCAACCTCCGAGACCGTAACACCCGCGGACGATCACATCGTACCACCGCGAGGAGGTTCTTCGGAACTTCGGAGCCGGGGAAACACAATGACAATCGGTGCCGCCCACGGAAGTCGACTGGACGTCGGCGACAAGTGGACAAGTGGATGTAAAAGCAAAAGCCGAGGTCGGCTGTTTCTACATCAACGTTGATTGACTGAGAGGGTAAAGGATGAGCGTTTTGGTCACCCACCCACCAGGCAGGGGAAAACTGGGCCTAGCTCCAACTGCTAACCTCAACTTCTAACTATGGAGGTTGGGTCGTCTTGTTGCTCTCACTGGTCGTCTGCAGCTGCTCTTTGTCGTCCACAACGGCCGGAGCTGCGTCTTCTGTGGGGTCCGAAGGAGCCTCCTCCTCCTCCTCCTCCTCCTCCTCCTCCTCCTCCTCTGCCCGAGCCTCCACTGCCAGGTACCCGTGAATGAGTTCATGCGCGATTGGGCTGCGTCGAGCTTCCTGAGTGATAGAAAGAGGCCAAAGGGGCTCTCACGGATGCCCCTCCGCCAACAACAAGGAAACTGCTTATCAAACCGTAAGACCCCCCTTGGCACCGGACAACTCCGGTCGGAAAGACCTATCCTCTCCGGTCGGATCACTGGCCCAGGCCCAGCTGTATCAAAGTGAAGAAGAATGGCTGGGAGGTCCGTTGAGAGGTCTTTTATATAAATCTTTAAAGGTAATCTTTGAATTTCTGGGGTTTATCAAACATATCAAAGACACTATTGCCATGTTCCATCACGATGTTCATGTTCATCACTTCTTCCATCCGTCTTGCCAAGGAGCCTCTTGCACTCCGTCTTGAAATGATCGAAAGCTTTGCAGTAAGCGAGATCGAATGGCCTCCTGCTCATTCCGATTTCTGGGAGAGACACCTTCCAGCTCGTGGGCTGGGTGTGGCAAATGGCAGTAAGCACATCGATCTGCGAAAGGGCAGCCTTGTTGAGAAGAAAAGAAGATGCACCTTAGCTGTACGGTCTGGACCTTTGCTACTACCTTTGCTAAGTATAAGGATTTTACCTGAACTGGTGGTTTAGTCAGAAATCCCTTCCTAAGACTAAAATACCCAAAACCTTCTAAAGGACTGTCTGGTAAGACACGGGTTGCAGCTTCCATTCGCATGCTCTCGCTCAAGTCGGCTCCTTGAGCGATTCCGCTCCCGCCCAGTGGGCCGGCCTTCTTCGGTGTGCACGCCGGCTCGGCGCCTGCGGAAAAAGATGTCTCGGACCCACGAGGGAGTGCAAGAACCATTCTTGCATCTTTTGGGATATAAGATGATATAAGGAGTTCTTATCAAACCGGCGGTTGTACTAAGGATTTGAGATGATTTTAGACTCGGCTCAATTGTTCGATTGGTCGAACTGAAGGCGAACTGGAGGACCCTCTGGTTCACCTGAATTTGAGTCGTGGGCGGCAGTCCCTTCCAGGCAGTCCCTGTTTCAGGTCTTACATGTGCCCGTGGGCCGTGTCTACCTCTTTGAGATGTCATGTCTGACATACAGTTTGGTGTCGATGTCATGGACACCCCCAGATGTTGACTTGACGGTTTTGTCCTCTGTCAGACGAGTCATGTCGCACCACCGATGGACCACCGGGCCCACCGGGGCAGCCATCGCACGGACCTGGTCCGACCCAGTCGGACGGCAAGGACTTGTTTGGGGCACCTGTGGTACTGTCTCAGTCAAGTTGCCAAGATCCACGTTGGCAGTCAGTGCAATTGAACTGCACATATTATTACTGTAATTCTTCACAAGAAGAACAAAGTGCGCCATGGCGCCAGTGCTAGATAATTTGACCAAACTGATGTCCAATCATTGCTGGAGAAAAGCAAAACACTTGCCTGTCCTTAGATCTTCCGCGAAGGGTTGTAACCCTTTAATTTAGGAGACTAGACACAAATCCCTTATGAACCTTTGGAGGGCAATGCCGGTCTCAGGCCTAAGAGTATACCAAAGGGAGGTAATTATATATATACATATATACATATTATATATAATATATAATATATAATATACATATAATATATATATATATATTATATTATATATAGCCCAAAAGTGCCCAAGGTCGCCTGGATCCTGGCCCTGATCTAGACCTTCCGCCGCCCTCGGCCATGGGTCGCCAGAGTTGCCCTCTTCGAGCCGAGAGGGTCTGCAGCGCCGAATGAGCGGTCAGATGGGTCAGCACCGAACTCCACTGGCTCGTGAGTGTTCTTTTTTCTCGACTCAGTTTAGCCAAGAGATTCCAAGTTATATCATGTTATGTTACATCCACTCTGCCATTGAATGAAGGGATATGAAAGGGCAGATGGAATGAGTTGGCTTTAAACGGAGGTGAACGAGGTCCCTTTGGGGGAAGAATCGAGGGTCAGTTTGGTACCATGTAGCATACCCATTGATGGTGCATGCCCGGCAGTATTCCCTTCCCATGAATCAACCAGCCGGTCGGCCATAGATCGGGCCATCTATGGTTGGGCACCGAGTGGATCCAGGGTTTGGAGCCACTCTTTGAAGCAACCGACCATGCCAAATTAGGGGGATCGAGATGTTCTTGTAGGAGACCAAAAAAGCACAGACCATGCACAAAGCATAAATAACGCGGTAAACATATTTTAAGTATAAATCTATATAATATTCTATACATAATTCATCATAATTTGACAACAGCATCCAACAGCAATGGCTAAAGGGAACACCGTGCTCATTTCTATCATGTCCTTGGTGCAAGGCCCTCATCATCATCACCACATTGGAGGCATGCAGCCCGCCGGGATGGCCGAGGGCTCGCCGTCTGACGCAGCCTCTTCCGGTGTCTGTGAATCCACATAGGCTTTTCCATGCCTCGCCGTCCGAGGAGTCTGACGGGGATCCAACTGAGACCGTCCGGTGATGGGTGGGTGGGAGCGTCTCCCAGTGGGGCAGGAACCGTTCTTTTATGTACATAGGATTATTTAGTAGGCCCCCCTCTCAGGAAGATTGTTAAACATATTCTGACTACTCTGCACATCGTTTCCTGAAAAGTATTCCTGGGGAGGAGTTGCTGGAATAATTAATGGATATTGCCACAGAACCCTCCTCAAGGCCGCATGTCATCGGCGTAAAACTCCTTAGTGTTCCTTAGTGATCCTGGAAGCCAGGACTGCCTGCGCATGAGTATTTAGTTATTTAAAGACTATTTAGTGGATTATAGATTAGCAGGTTTTTCAAGTATTCCAAGGGTCCCTTGACCTACCCCTGCCTACGTTTATTATTCCAGAAACTTATTATGAAACAATTATTCCATGAACTCACAGGACCCAAAAAATAAGCAATGAAATAATCCAACATGTTCTTTTCCAGCGTGAAGACCATTTAAGACATGGTTGACCTGGTGTTGTCCAAATTCGTAAAAACAGTGGCTAGTCGGTCAAGAGCTTCTCCTCAAGCACTAAGACGGCAGCCACCATTCACCTTCGCATTGGCGGCCGGCCCCCTCACCGGAGCACTCCAGTGAAAAAACTCTTCGCTCAAACAAACGCCACCGAGTCGCTTGATGAGATCAATGGCAAAGTCGTACATCTGTTGGAAGTAGTCGCCTGAGATGCCACGACGAACCGGAGGAGCGGAGGCTGGCGCCCACTTGCTTGTGGTGGCGGCGTTCGGGGTGGTGGAGGCTGGTGCCCAGGTGGATCCTAGCCACAAATCCACAAGCTTTAGGTCCTCGAGTGTGCATTCCAGACCGTCCAGAGTCCAGACCATCCATGGGACTGGAATATATGCCGATCAATTGACATCTGAAACTACCTCGATGTAGGTATATATTATATTAGTGTCTGGGTATGGACTCCTGGTGGGATTCACTATTTTCAGCGAGACTCAACATGGCAAACGCGCAAAGAAAAGGGTCACAGTAGCAGCCAATTCTCATGTTAGTTTCACGTGCGTCCGAGTCCTGCGCGGTATTTTTTGGCTGTGGCCAGACGCTCCAAACAGCCCTTGGTCCCTTGGTCCATCAAAACCAAGGCCCAGCGTCTGCCAATATATACTCTCGAGTAAAGGATGTGATTCAGCAAAGATATCACATCTGAGTGCTATCGCTGTTTCAAGTTTTGGCCACAATGTCAACGACATAGCTGAACAAATCCGGAAACTGCTTATGCGGGAGGTTGCCAGCTGTAGAATGAACTTGGACGACCTATGCACACCTGAGCAAAACATACATATTGATAGTTCTTTGCAGCACCCCAAGGTGTTTTGAGAAGAGTTCCCATGGAACTCTGACCTTAACTATGGTTGGAGCATAGCTCTGGATGTAGGCAACAGGTGAACCTTCAACAGTAGTCCCTAGGATGACCCAAAAAGAACACATATCATATCATATCATATCATACACCGCACCTGTGCGTCAAAAGCAGGCGAACCTGAGTATAATATTAACAACCGAAAAACACAAATCCACTAAAATAATATGTAACCCTTCCACTCATGATGAACGCCTGCTGATGCTTACATCAAACCCCTTATAGATTGCCAACATACAACCCAACAGTAGGTCCCTTTCCAACCAACAGAGTTCGCTTGCGTTTGGGAAAAAGAGACGACTTTCCGCAGAGCCTTCCCCCCCAAGGCAGGGTAGCAATCACCCCAAAAAAGTGATGACATTGTCTTTTGCCTGTATCGCTTTTGAGGGGGGCCTATCGCTGTTGAATTCCAGAAAGACACTACCGCTCTCTACTAAATTTTGACAAATTTTGGTCCGATTCCCCCATATGAGGGTCCATGAGTGTCTAGGTGGCTGATGTTTCCTTTTGCCGAGTCACTGGCATAGACTGGCTCGTTCTTCCAAGGTTTACCACCCTTCTTGACCTTTTCCATTTCCAAGGCCTCCGTTCCGAACGGTGCGCTCGGACTGTTCTGAGCTGTGTTTCAGTGGGCGCCTCTTTGGTCGAGACTATGCTGCCTCAGAAAGACCCGCGGTCAACCACTCCAACTGATCAGTCATCCAAGTCGAAATGGCCGGGAATTGAAGCGACGAGTGCCGCCACAGCAACTGACGTGCTCAGCGGTCTTTCATTCGGTGAGACCGGTCTAAAGGGGAAACCACCCACAGCTGCTCTTGACTCAAGGCCTTTGACACTAGTTGTGCTTGAAATAACAATTACCGCATGAGCGCAACAAATCGACATCTGTCATAGAGCAATCGATCACGTCACTGTTTTGCCCAGTTCAGCTGCCTGTCCTGCAATTTACAACAACAAACTGAAGGGGTGGGGTGGAATGTGTTGAATACAGCAAAATACATCAGTCTGTTTTGAGATCAGTATGCTTGAGCCGGCCCATATCCTCTCTGATCCATGTCGGATGAAGATTGACGGGATAGCACTCACAATCACTTATTATATATATATGCACCCAGAAGTCAAAAAGATCCCAAGAGTGCAAAAAGCTGCAGGCATGCTTTTTCCAATGCGCTTTGGTTGATGCTGGGGTCCTCCCCCAGACCCTGTATCGTTTAGTCCATTTCAAACTGCCCTGGACTTCGCCAGGGGGACAAGGGTGTGTCAGGCAGTAGGATTCGCCCGCCGCTGCCACACCACCCGATTGTCCCCTGGCCTCCCAGGGCCAAAAGGCACCTCGCGAGGTGCCAGGGGACAGGGTCGGGAGGACAGCCCACCGGATCCGGTCACGGGATCTTGGGTGGGCATCTAGGAAAAACCAGTTGAGGACAAAAGTTTTGTAGCGAACGGAAAAATGAAGAGAGTCTCCGGTGCCGGTAACCGGCGATCTAAGGAGAATCCTTCAAAGTCAGGATGGGTCAATTCATCCGCCCAGGTGTTGTATTCCCTGGGGATGTGGTTGGGAGCAATGCTACAGCCCTCACAATGAAGGAAGAGAACCAATTCCATGAGCAGTGCCGCCGAGTATGGTTTCTTGGCCGAGAGGTTGAGCAGGCTGAAGATGTTGCCTGAGTTGTCAAAGCCCCTTGCTCCTTCCGCCTCCGCATGACGGAGGGCCGTGGATGCTGCGTCCGCAGCCGCATCTAAACTCTCCATGCCCGGGCTACTGATTGTAGTGCCATCCTCAACGTCCGGCTGGGCATCTCGCACGGACTCAATCATGACATACTCCGGTTCCATTGGGTGCGCCATTGCGTCGTCGTCAGAAATCACCAATGTACTAAGGAGTTTTCTTCCCAAACTTCAGGTGCAATCCTGCGTGATTGCCACCAACTTGAGCCAAAATGTCCCGGTGGGACATTTTGTGAACTTCAGTGAACATAAAACTTGCATCCGGAAGCTACCTGCAAGTGTGAATATATTATTGTAGTCTATTATATTATATGATCCTTGTCAGGTGTGGCTCTAATGGCAGTTTCTTTCGGATTCCAAGATACCCTCAGGGCTGGTGCGTCATTCGTGGTCAACCAGTGCCTGAATGAGCCTAGGCCCGATTCGCCCTGCGCACCCCAGCGATCCAGAACGCTCAAAGCACCGAAAGTCCTGCACCATTTGCCACCCTGCCTGACACACCCAAGCCACATCCTCCTGAATCGCTTCAACATACTCGGTCTCCTCCTCGTGCGTGTCGCGGTGCAAAGACCCATCAAGGGGTGGCAAAAGTGCCGCATTGGTTCCAGAAACAAGGCAGAAATATGTTTTCCCAATCCCCATGTTTTCTTCAAACAAATGAGCTCGCCCGTTCTGCCCTCGCACTGCCCGTTCTGCACCGTGTCGGGGTTCGTGTCATCGAAACGCAAGTTGCATTCTCCGCCGTACCTGGACGGTGTTGCGGGCGGAGAGGTCATGACAGGGGATGAAGCCACAGGGGTGAAACTTGTTTAAAAGCCCCGGGGGGGTAGGCCGAGTCGCCGAGGTAGCTAGGTAGCTAGTAGCTAGCTAGTAGCTAGTAGCTTGGACGCACGATAGCTCACGCTTCTTCAAGGAAGCTCCCCCCTCCGCCCTAAAGGCGGCGAGGGAAGCTTCCTTGAAGAAGCGCTCGCACTAATGATTTGGTTTCTAGATTTTTAGGGAAACTTAACAATTCACGGTTTTCTTGAAAACAATTGAAGTAGATGTCCTATTTCCTAAACAAGTGGCACATGATACCACATAATAACAAAAACATACAAAAACCAATTACATCCTATTACCGTGACCACAATGGATTGAGATCTAAGAGCCCTCAAAAACCAACTTCCGTCTTATGCTAATCTGACTTCGACAAAGCAGGCCGTGCTCATTACGGATCTCCTACAACAACTTGAACATGTTGGCATTTCCCATTTCAGCTCCCATACACCACTTGGGCCTCCCAACTCTTCCCCAAATCCTAGGCTCTGCTCCCACCCATCCACCCCAGAAACCCCAGAGCGCTTGTGTGCCAGGCCGAAATTGATCATGATGGACTTAGCATGACCGATGTGCAAATAACCTGAGCCGGTCCACAGATGCGTCCGGGCTCGGGTCCGGCCCGGGACCGGTCGTCTCAAAGGCCGGAGGTAGAGTCATGGATGAATCAGCAGCAGCGGTCTGGTGATGCCTCATGCAAAGTATATCGGTAGCATGGCTTGTAGGTTCGTCTCATGCCCTGGCTTAGCATTTAAAACCAATCATCCCTTCAAAAGATGAAGAATGGGAGAACTTTATACAGAATATACGTATGTTATATATTATAAGGATATAGACAAGCTAAGAATCTCGCTGCCACCCTGAAGTATCTGAGCTCAGATCCAAGCTATCCCAAAACGACGCGCGAAACGACAGCGAGTCCTTTTTGTCCTTGTGTCGGAGAGTTCGTTCTCCCTAACTCAGCTGCTGGAAAGCGATAGATTACAATACTGGCACCCAGAATTTCACCACCAAAAGGCCGTAACGTAAATGGGCAGATGTGATGTTTGTAGTGGTGCAAGACAATTCTTGCTTCAGTAGTCCTACCCTTGCCACCCTCGCTGTGTCAAATTCTGCCGGACATGTGGCCGTTGGGCTCAGGGGGGAAGCGCGTGAGGACCTGCAGCGCGGAAGCAGCAGGCTTTGACGACGAACATGGTCCGACACAGAACATCGGACCTTGCTTGGACGAAATCTGTCTGGGCATGGCTAGCTGGACCCTAGGCCCTACTATGAATTGATCTCCTGTGCCGCTTCGAAACACACAACATGTTCTTCATCTTTTTCGCATTCCGGGCAGGAAACCCAGGGTTGGATTCTTCTGGGGAAAGTGGAGACCATTGGAGACCCAGCTCTAGGGCAGGGTTTTGACTGGGTGTTCACTCACCCCCTTGAGTGTGAAACCCTTCTGTTTCCAGGGGGTCGGTGAGTCACTGCGGGGTCCGCGCATGTCCGCGCCTTCTGCTTATGGCACCTGCCCTGAGGCGCCAAGTCCGCCTCTATCCTGAGTCCAGGTGCATGGTGGAGGGTTCTGCTGTTGACAACACTCCCAGTTTCCTTGGAACAAAGCTGAGCAAACAGGTGTCATTCTTGGACTTTTGGCAAGCCAATCCCACCCAAAAGGTGAAATAAATAGCAGCGTCTAGGGATCTTCTGTTCCGTGTTCAGTCGCTTGAAACGAAGCTCCGACCTCTGCAAACAAAACTTAAAAGTCCAAGAACATATTCCAAAAAAATCCAAAAGAACTAGCTCTTGCGCGCCCTGAGGGTGCTTGATGTCAAATGGCTTGTGCTTGTTGCTGTTTGTGCCATTCCATGACATCCCCCAAGAAACAAATATATATATATATATGCAACTTCAGGTTGGCTAATTAGGATTGGCTATATAATTGAATATATCTCAAGTTATCCCAGTCAGCGGATTCTGCAAATGGCTTAAGTTCTTCAACACAATGTGTTTCTCATAACCTACAAATGAGTTCAGCATAAACTCTCTCTATATATATATATATATACATTCCTGCACCACTTGCACAAATGCTTACATAAAGCTCACAAAATGTTATGCCTGTTATGCAAGCCAAAAATTAACAATGACTTTAGAACGGGAACAATCCTTCTGAGTGAATGCCGACCTTCTCGTACCTGGCGAAGCCCACAGATCCGCCCCATTCGCTGCGGGCAGCGGTACCGTCTTATCTGACGGTTGGCACAACAAGAGACAGTGAAACATAGAAGAACTGCAGGTGATATCCAACATCCCCTTCTATAACAGGCCATTTCTATCTCTTATACGATCATAATGCACATTTTACATGTTAAGAATATAACACATAATCTGAATACCACGATCAAATAGAACATTGTTGTCCAGTACAAGGAACGTGACCACCTATCCAAATCGAGGAAACATGAAGAGCAACATCAAATTGATGAGGATGAATGAAAACTGTGAAATCGTGTACTTCGACGTTGGATTTCCATGCTCAGTGGCCATTTCTCCAAGAAGTTTCGTCCATCAGGAGGCCCTTCCTGACACAAGTTCCACCAGAGACGTAGGGAGATTCAGCTTCAAAGTCAGGACGAGTCGGGGGAACTTTGCTGTAGAATTTTATTTGGGGGAGTAAAATGGCTTTGATCAGTTGCATGGTTGGCAGGGTTGAGCCGGGAATGATCACCTGGAAGACTACACTTCAAACAACACAAACAGTACAAAAATGAAACATCATGAACACCTATACCCAGCAGAGGCTTTGGGCTTCTGTCTATTCTTGGGAGTACCCAATATCATCCAATATCTGTTACCAGGCATCCTGAAGGATCCAAGAATCAGCCAGAGTCCGCATGGAGCAGCATATATATATTATAAATATATAATAATGACAGTAATGAGAACAAAAATTACAATATATGACAATCATAATCTTAATATTATACATATTATTACATATTGCATCATATCGATCATATTGTATATACATGGAGTGTGTGGGATTGTCTGGGTATGCGATGGACTTGATCGTCGGATGTTCTTTGAGTTGTTCCCGCCCACCATCCGCTTAGTCTAGGTGAAACCACACAGGGCAAACAGTGAGTTGCGGTTTGAAGTATAAGCCGGAAAGTCTTCGATCACCAGTGCCCTCTCGCTGTATTTGGCCGGTTTGCCTCATCTGGCCAAATCCCTCACCAAAGCGTCCATAAGTGATACAGTAAGGTCCCAGTAGTGAATCCAAATGAACCAACCCGCTGCTGCTTCTTGAGGCAGCAACCAGAACCCGCTCCGAGCTGTTTTCAAGCAACCCGTGAACACGTTTTGACAGAATACTCATACTCCCTTTGGACGGATTCATGTTATCGGGGGAGTTACCTTTCCCCCAAAATAGGAACCACATGAATAGTGCGAGCGCTTCTGGCACTGCAAGGAAGCTCCTGATTTCCTGCGTCCGGAGCCTATAGCTACCTCCTACCTCTTACTATAGCTGACTATAGCTACTACGGCCTAACCCCCCTAAACGAAAGTGAAAGGTTCAGAATACTGCTGAAGTTCCTCTTCCCTTGTTCCATCACCTTGGCGACCCAACTTAATTTATCCTTCCACGACCCGCCACGCCTTTCCACTCGGAGATGTGGGTGCAGCCGCAGCTTTTGCCTGCACTCGGTCAAGCTGTGGTCTACAAAGGTCTCCATTTTGCCCCAGGTCACCACTGAGACTGAGGGTCCTTTTAGTGTCCAACAAGCCTCAAAAAAGAACCTGTTGGAGGGTCGTGGTAGCAGTTTGTGCTATTATATATGTATAACTATATATATATATATACTGCGTCTTAAAAATAGATGGTTTTAAAAAAATTGCGCCATCTACGAGCTCCAGAGTACCACAGTAGAGTTGCGCCATCAGTAGGCATGCTGTCAGTATAAAAACAGGGCGAGATTTAAGCAAAAAGCTCTCGTACTCGGAGACCCCTGACTGCACGCTCCATCTATATGCTCCAGTTAGAAAGTAGAACTACAATAGCTGAATCTCTTGTGCAGAGAAAGAAAGAGAAAGAGAAAGAGAAAGGAAACGCAGGAGAAATAGTAAAAGACAGAGTAGGATGGGCGCCGATGGGCTTTGCTTTGGATGGCTTTGCACTGATGTGCATTGTGCCATCTATAGCGCGTTTTTTCGCTTGTTTTTGCAAGCTCATTTTTTCTTGCGTTTGCATTTTTGCACCCCCCTCTCCCTATAAATGCGCCATCTACAGGTGCAAAATAGCGAGGAAAATACATTGATGGCGCTCACTCCCTGGAACCCTGACTTGTGCCAGAAACTTTCTGGGCGGTGTATATATATTTACTCTGAAATCAGTGCAGATTTTGCAGCAAACGAGTTATGCTGGGCGCAAACGAGGTGAACAGTCTGCACATTCCAGCGGTTAGCTTTCACGAGACAATGCCCAGCTGGGCTTCAAATACATCCTCAGCAAGTGCGTGGACCCTCGACCCTCCTGGCAACCATCCTGGCAACACCTTGCATTTCGACACGGGGTATGTCGTGAAGTCGATACGATTTGACTCCTTCGGTCCTTCAGTCGTAAATAGAGTAAAAGCATCACCTGTCCTGGCTGGTTGCACTCGCAGACTTGGAGACTTTGGAGGCCTGAGAGGCGACGCCAGGCATGTCTCGGACGAGTCCAAGCCAAGCCTCTGAATCTGACAGTAACAATAAGCTACTAGGAACAAGTGCATCGCTTCTAGTAACAAGTGCCTTACTAGTAGTAACAAGAAGCTACTACTATTATTTTAACATATTTTAACTAGAATCAATTTGGAACGACCTGAATTTTTGAACGCCCAACCCCAGAGGCGGGCCCTCCAATTTCGAGATCTTCGGCTCAAATGGTGCAACCCTGAATGCCCAAAATGAACACATGGATGATTAAGGATTGACCCATGAGTCAAATGCCAAGAAAGGACGCGGATCAAAGATTTCTAGGTTATCTCAGTTCCAGCTAAACTAATTAGCAAACTAACTAACTGGTTGATCTTGCAAACAACTCCCCATCCGCTCTACCTGAATCCAGTAGACAGTAGACTTGCCTGAAACTGAAACTGTCAACAAGGCTCTACTTCTGACTCCTCCTCTCCCTTCCACCTACTCTGGACGTTGTCAATGGCTCAAGCATCAACTCTACAGTTCTACAGATACCTGCTGCTTCCATGATTCATCCTTCCCCTTTCAGACCACCGGAGCCTCCTGAAGGCTTTCCTCGGGTGGGCGCAAGACCACCGGAGTTCCTGCGAGCGGCTTCCACCGAGCGCTCACGACGCCGTACCAGCCTTGACTCACTGGACAAGCCCAAAGAGGACACTGGGGGATTCCAGGAGCTTTTCTGTTCTGCTTTTGGTTGGATCAGTGAGGGATGCGATATGTTGACCCGTGGCATGTGGGTCCAGGACTGGACGGTGAGCCTCGTTGACTCAAGAAGAACAAACATGGACCAAAAAAGATGCCAGCAGGATGTCGGCCGTGGAGCCAATGAGTGCTTCTTTGAGCAACCCAGCCACCTCATGGTGTTTATCTTCCCTGCTGCAAGGCCTTACGATACCCTGGGAGTCCAAGACCTTCTAAGAATTGTCTTTCATGGTCTTTCAGTGATCCGAAAAAGACATGTCCTTTACTTTGGTGGGTGCAAAATGGAGTCGAAGTGGACCGTAGGGAATGGATGTGCAAGGACCTCTCCCCAAACCCTCAGCCAGCCATTCAACCAATGGAGCACTGTCGGACAATGACGACAGGTCGATATCGACCTATGCTGGTCCTTTCCAATGGATTAGTTGAAGGGAACATCTACAGGAAACCATGGCTGTTACCACCAAAACTATGGGTTTCCTGTGGCCGTTCCCTTAAACTTAAACCACTTCATACCAATTCTATCCGATATTCTATCCAATACTGTCCTTTCCAAAGTGAGGCCAAATTCACCCAGATGCTACAGGAGCTCTGGCACCAACCCCTGGCCTTCCTCTCCGCCCACCCCCGCTTGCTTCCCTCGGGAAGGACCTCCGAAAGGGATGCCCAGCTGGGCCAAGTAGGCCGCACTCATGGCGTCAGATCCGACCGAAAGGTGCTCTGAATGCGGTCCCTGCGACCAACCTGTGACCAAGGCCCTGCGACCCCTAGCCTGCTGGGCCAAGATCGAGAACGACAGGGCCTCCAAACTGTCCAAGCAATGCTCGCAGTAGCTACTAGTAGCTGGTGAATGTCTTGCAAAACTTTTGTTGAGATGATGTAACGCTTGGACCTGGAAAGTGAAGAATCCTGTGCATGTTCTTTCTTCCTGGGCCCGGCGTCCATCAGATAGACCGACAAGAGTTCGGCCGGACTGACGCACGAGTTGCTGTAACATGCTGTAACTGGTTCTGGATTGGGATACCTGGCTTGGCTGTGGTTTCTCGATGCCAAACATAGCCACATCCAGTTCTTTGGTGATGGTCCCCCGGTCTATGACTCCTTGAATTAATTTAAATTATGATCATAGGACACAACTCATCACACAAACCCTCTGCGATCATCCACATTTCTACACCAACACTTCGGAGCGCAACCCCTGTTGTAGTGAAGAACCGTTGTCGCGTGTCGCATGTCCTCGTTTTCGTTTGTGTTCAGCGGTTTGAGGACGTGAAACACCCTTGAAGTGTTTGCATCGGCACCCTTTCTGCATCACCCATTGATTTGCTTCAGAGCTCAGGGAAGGGCAATGAGACTGACTCAATCAACTGACTGGCATTTCGACTGGTCATGACCCGACCCACGGCTGTAGACGCTTCGCGCATAGCGCGGGCTTCGCTGGTCTCCGTTGGGTTTGACCGAAGCGAACACGTCTTGGCCACCCTTCAACATGCAAACCGTAGAGTCTCGTCTTTTCGGATCTCGTTCGGCGCAAATCTCTAGGCAACCAGGGGTCAAATGCAGCGAAGCAGATGAGGACGCAAAGCCTGAGGCCTTATGTGATCTTATGTAACCCCAATCCTTACGCTCCCTGAAATAATCATGGAAATGGATCGTCTGGCCCCGAAAGAATGACCATGTTCCTTTACAAACAGGTGGTGCCATCCACTTCCATGTTAAGGGAGTGTAATCCCTTTGCAATTGGCACGGCTGGGAACCGGTCCGACCTGCGGTGTGAAGCAACAAGCCATGTTCATTCATGTTCATTCAACTCGAACAACACTCGCCACCAACAACTCCCGACATAATTACAGGCAAAGCCACCATAGATCTGACGCGTCTTAGACAGTTGGTTTCTGGCCTCCTTTGGGCAGATCTTTTCAGGGAGTAAAGCCCTGCGATCTTTACGAACACATTCTTCAGCTCATTGAATTCATCTGCATCCTCTTTGTGCAACCCTAGATCATCCCTGCGAGCACAACTTGGTCGGCTCACCCATAGGTTGGTGATGATTGGTTCCACCCGTGACGCAGGACTACGGCACGTCTGAACCAGTCAGGCGGTCATGGCCAACAACCATGAAACATTGTCAGGCGGATGGTTCCCCGTCTCCCCAAAAAGGCTTGAGAGATGTCATGTTGCGTGCTGAGATCTACATGGATTGACAAATCATTCCCTGACATGCACTGCCTCGAATGGAGTCTATGTTGGTTTGTAGAGATCCATGTTCAGTTCTTTCTGTCAAAATAATGTTTGGCAATGACTTGACATTGACAGCCTCCAAAAAGGCAGGCTCACTCCAGCTACTCTGCCATGATCTTGTTGAGCTGCTTTAGGATCTCTCGCACCTCCTGTGCAGCTTCGCGACTGGACAACCATCCAGGGTGGTCCTCTTCCCAAAGGGTCAAAATTCATGAAACCGCCTACATTTGGATGGTAACACCTCTTCATATATAGGGTGTTTTCCCTAGTGCTCCAACTACCTCCTGAGAAGATGGCTGGGGTGAGTTTGTGGGGTCTGATGGTCTAACCACCTTCTGAGGATATAGTTGGAGCCCTAGTAGAATTAATCAGTTAACAGGAGTTCAATACACACTCATGTCCCGCATTCGAATCAAAATACCCGCCCCCTAGCCGTGTGGGATCGAGCAGGTTCAGCTGAACCTTTTGAATTAGGTGGGGTTAAGACACCAAAACTCCTTCTGAAAGCAGTATATAGTTTTTGCTGTTACATCTCTTCCTCTCAGCACTTACGAGTCCGTATGAGTCTGACACTGCCTATCCGGCCTACCGGTATCTGGAAGTCTGCCCGGTGCCGCCCTCGAAACCACACGGGACCCCAAAGCCATCGAATGCCTGGTGGGAGCAAGGTCCCCTTCCAAACACTTTGCTTTTCCTTTTGCTCATCCGAATAGGCGAATCGTAAGAACACCGACCCCAGCTCGCCCACTTCACTTCCATTCGGCTGACATGCACTTATACTAATACGTCCTAAAAACAGCATCTAAACATTCCTAAACTACAAACCGAAGCCTCTTCTAAGCCAACTCCCAAAAGATCTCTCCCCCTACTTTGTCTCATCTCTTCCTTCAACCTCCCAACCAAAAACAAAGCACACTTCTCACTACTCCTCCAAACCACGGCCATCCTCGCATCCTCCTTTTGATGGACTCCCGCCACCTAAAACGCCACGGACTCCTTGCGCAGCTTAAAGAGATCGATGGAGCGTGCGACGCCGTGGAACTGCTTGATGCCGATGGCGAACTCGTCCTGAAAAACGGCGACGACCCGTGGGAACCGTCGGCTCGGTGTTCTCAAGCGGGGTCTCGAGCCGTCTGGTCTCTCGCGGGGGCCCCAAAAAGACAGACTGCGTGGAAGAAAGGACCGTTTTGTTTTTGCAAAGTGAAGCTGATAGCCTTAAAGACATGTTGAGATGGTCAACTTCCAAAGTTAAAATCTACATGGCTAAATGTATTCAAATGTCTTTGATGGATAAACAGTCGGACAAGTTATTCTATAATTACTTGGAGCCTCCAAGTGTACCTAATATGTTTGCCGCAACCCGATGCACAAGGCAGTTTAGTTTGACAAGTTTGACCATGGTCTACTCGTAACTTGGCCGAAGAAAAGGCATGAATCATGATTGAGACCAGAAAAATGATTGAAACCAAACAAGTACTTGGACCATCCTGTCTGGGTGTCCAGGTGTAAAATCCTTAAGCAGTGTATGTAGGGCAGCCAGGCCCAGACAGGATGGTCCTCGTACGCTTCGATGCTTGGTTCTTGAGATTGTTTGCCCTGAGGGCGTGGCTCCGCTCACATATGTCCCTAAAGGTTGCTTTGGCTGTTCCCCTAAGGTCCATACAAAACCAATCCAGGGCGGGCCATCCGGCCATCCATGGGGCTGGAATAAATACCTACATTAGGGTGGTAACTGTATGGAACATTATAGAACTATTCCACTCCCATGGATGGTCTGGGTGTGGTCATGATCATTCGCGCAATCCTTCGGAGGTCAAAGACGCGGTGAAACAGGCCATTCTTGAGGTGCGCTCTGACTGTGCCTTTGTAGCCTGACCAACCATAGTACCAAACCTTATTGGGAATTGAGCTTCCAAGAAGGCAACTAAGAATGAGTGGCACCTGTAGCCATCAGAATCACCCCGCAGCCCAAAAGGGATGATGCTCCTGATCAATACAGCCGCTGTCGTCGATGTCAAAGAGTTCCCACAGCTCGTCAGTGTTCGTCGTTTCCTTGGAGAAATCAACAAAGAAATCACGGGCACCTCTAGGAAAGCATCATAAGAGGGAGGAGGAACTCCACAAAAGCACATCGAAGAGAGCCGCAGATCAGCAAAGTAGAACTTGCCGTACATAAATCGACGAGCATGACTGTGCGGTATATGCTCCTTCAACATGGAAATGGATTTCCCAACATAGGACCCCGCAGTTGGGGAGTTACAGGCGATCTGCCAAATGCCCTCAGTTTGGGATTTGTGAAGCTTAAAGACTGTTGATGCAATGAAAAGGTTCTGCCATCCAAATGGGGGATTAGTTCTCATGAGTCCACAATGAGTCTGCATTAAATGGCAAACCATTGTAAACCTATTCTGTTCAACAACATGTTGCCCATTTTGCCATAGCGATCCTTGAGCCGCATGGTCATGAAAGAACGGCAACACGCCCCGGTTTCAACGAGGTCATGTCATGGAGGAAGCCCAATGGATCCAATGGATGTCCCATCCACAAAAAAAATGAGCTGTGATAAGTTGAATGCTTCAAACTTGCTTGACTCACTATCCAAGAATCCAGGTCATGCTTGGTGGGTAACTGTTTTAAATGGTTTGGTCATGACTTGCATGCTGCTGGCTTTTTGTTCGCCATGTTACTTGCATGCTTCAGTTGGAATCGCTGAGATCTTTTGGTTGCCTATGTACTGTGCCTGTAACAAAACCAATGGTGACCACCAACACTGGATGCTTTAGGTCTATTCCGGGGTCTCGTTCGGGTATCGTTTGGGGCACTATTGCTATGCTGATCTGGTGGGGACACGGTCCACACCTGGTCCGCTCATCGCCGCCTGTCCGCCCAGTGCACCCGGGTATGGTCACCCAGGTTCGGCACCATAGCAACTAGAATCAACTAGACCATACCTGTGGGAAGGGTCGTGGTTGGGAATTCCAGTCTGAACTTTGCTATATGACCACTGTTCGGTCTCAATCTCAACAGACCAACCCCACCCAGCAAACACCAGCCCACATGTGAACGACCCGCAGAGCTTGGGGATTAAGCATCGGTGTTGATTCCCAAGTGATAGAAGCAGGTGTTGATCCGGTCGGAGTTCGTCACCTCAGAAATGACACATCCATCCGCTCATGAAGCTCTTCAAGCAGAAAGGGGGGTGTAGGTTAGAGTGGAAGCACATTTCTATTCCACCAGAATGTGGGTGGTTTTTTCAGTGGAAGCCCCTTCATCCAATGGATATCCACTGGGTTTGGGGGTCCTTGCCACTTGCAGACAGTCTTTTTGGGGTCGGAGAACTCGCCGCGTCGCCACTTCAAGGCAAAACGACCCCACACGACTTCAGAAGTTGATAACTTGATTGTTACTATAGTAGTAATGGCCTCCAACCTAAGAGCGATGGCCTCCAACCTACTAGCGATGGCCTCCACCGGTCGTAGCTTCTTGCTACTAGTAGCGGGGACTAGTAGCGGGGGGGAGCGGGCTAGCCAAAAAAGGCACCAGGGTGGTTTCTCCTGGAAGAACCATGTGTTTACCATCCGGTAGTTCTCCTTGGGGTGGTGATGGCTAGAGCATCATCATTACTCTTCAATAGATATAGAATGATATAGATTCTGTATGGCATGCATGGAGTGTCTGGGAATAAAAATACAATTTGTCGGTGGTGGGGGTTGGGTGCAACTGCTGCCTGACCTTCACCTCTATTCTGGATTGTCAAGCTTGTTCACAAACAGGCAACGGAATATGTTGTTTTGCATAATGCTATTTACAATTTTGATGCGGAAGTTATAAGGTACTCTTTATGGATGCGAAAGTTATTTAGTTATGTTTTTATGGTTGTTTATTCGATTGCTTCTGGGTTATCATGTTCATTCATGTTCATGTTCATCCGACCTGTTACCCCTACCCCCACCCAAAACAGGCGCCATATCAAAAATCTGGCAAGGAACATGGTAAACAAAGTCGTCCTTCGTGAGCTTGGCGTCCTTCTCCACCGAAATCTTCGAAAACAACTCCTCAAAATCACAGCGGGAGAGTGGGAGGGGCGCGCTGAGAACGGTCTCGCACCAATACCAAAGCACATCGATCCCCCCAACAAAAGGAATCACCAAAAAGAGAACATGTCCAAAGCGCCTATTTCGTGCGTTCGCACGTGGGACGTGGGCAAACATGGGCTTCTTGAGGACTGGACTGGATGGTCCAAATCCAGCGCGTTGTTTGGTTTGAGTTGAATATCACATTCTGGTAGTGGTTTCGACTCACTTGAAAAATATGAGTCAGTGGGTTGAAAAAATCCCAAGCGAAGGTTGAACATCAAAAACACACGGTTTGTTTCACCACCCAGCATATGGGATTCTTCAGGAATGCGGGACTGATTCTTATTCAAAAAAGAACGTGTGATCAATGTTTACAGTTCTTGCTCCACCTCATGATGTCTATGCACAATTGTGGATCGATTTGGGTCCAACCTCTTCCAAAGCATCATGGGGCTCTCCTAGTTTCAAACTTCCGCACGATTCTGAGCATCTACATCAACTCTATCCTCCTCTGATTCGTAAACATTTTCAGGGCCCACCCTTCTAGCTCGGATCACACTCACATATCCCTGGTTTCGCATCCTTTTCTTTCAGTACATGACCACCTGGTCTTCATCAGCGAGTCTTTTCTCTCGTTGTATACAACGAACATATTTCGGCTACACTCATGTCTTGCATCCAACCCTTCAAAGGGGAAAGAAAGCACACACCGCTTCTGCATAGAAGTGCGAGAAGGGCCATGAAGAAAGCACACCATCTTTCGCCAAGTCGACGAACTCCAAGTCGATCATCCACACCAGTCGGCCACGCGGCCGACACGGACGGCCCATCCCATCCCATCGTCCAAGGCGCTGCCACTTCGGTGATCCACTTCTGCCGCTCCTGTCGACTCCCGGTCGGGCCGAGATCGGTCGGGTGGCTGAAGACGTCGACGGCGAACAGCGGCGCTTGCTGGAACGGGGGCCCGCCGCATGGCCGGCCCGGCCCGGGAAGGCATGAGTTGAGTTTGTGTCGAAGAGGGAAAAGGCAGGGAGACCTTCTTGATCCTTCTTGTATCTTTTTGGAAAGGGAATCCACCTGCCAATCAGATTGGAGTCGGAAGCAATGAGGTCCTTTTCGAGTCCGAATCGAAACGGGATGAGAAGGGAAAGGACCCACATCCATTTGGGGCCAGTGGGTCCTCCTGTTAAGATACACACCCACATTTGGAACGTCCAGATACGCGTCAGCGTCGTTGGGCATCACCGATCATCGGCTTCACCGAAACGCCGCCTTCATCGCCTCATGGTGCATGGCCTGACGGAAGAAGTCCAAGCTCGGAATGCTCGGGTCGGGGCAAAAACCTTGGATTCTGTAAAGGTTTTGGTAGGTTGTACGTGATTCATGATGATTCTATGATATTTTAACACTTTGATAGGAAAGCCACCCAGTTGGATTTTGTGAAACACAACATTCTTCGTACAGACCTGTACAGCAACCTTCTCCCTCAGTTTCTCTGGTACACTTAAAGGTTAACCTGTTTCCACCTGTTGCATCTCCCATACTGGCCCTTGTGACCAGCACATCGCTGACACTCTGGTCATACGACGTAAAATAAAGAACCCCAGTGAAACCGAAAAGTGCATCAAGTAAGGCAAGTCGAAAGCGGAAAGGACCAAGTCGCTAGGCTCTGGCCACATCCTTCGAGAAGGATGGCGGCAAAAGAGCCCAGTTCATCCGGCTGAATCAATGGACACGCTCCGAAGATGGCGCCCTTTGGAAGTGCGCGTCCGCACTTATATGCTTCAGTCGCAATGTATGTTTCCACCTGTTGGTTTTGGGTGCCACCAAAAAAGGTTTGGCAGGTTATCCACTTTTCCTGGGTAGGGCAAAAGACGAAAACCTACCTCAATCGCAGCAGTCCAGTGAATCCCTTTTCACAACTTTGTATCAACTTTTCACTCACGGATGAAAACGAATGATCTTTGACGATGTCCTGCCATAAACTTCTGCACACTCACACACGGTCAGTGAAACATAGAACCTGAACATGGACCACTGGAAGACTCATTTGTCATCTCTAGTCCTCTTCCAACGACGGTGGCCAGACTGGTGCGACGATGTTCGACGCGAAACGGTGTCCGGTGCAATTCGGTTGAACGGCGGTGATTGCCCTCGCTGCGCGGAACCGGTGAACGGAGCTTGACTCGACCGGAAGGAGCCACGAAACAGGATCTTGAGGGAAGGAATGCTGCCAGAGAAAACTAACCCGCGAAAAGTCTAGGAAGTGGGGGCACTACCAACTTCCGAACTTCCCTCATGTGTTTCTCATTCCCGACAGGGATGACTCGAGATTCATGCCATGAGATTCTGCTCACAAAACCAATCACTCACGACAAGCAACTCCACAGTCGATTCGGTCTGGTAGAATTTGCAAGATCTTTGCAACTCTGAAGGTGTCCACTTTCATTGGGGGGATAGTCATTATAAACTATAGTCATTTGCCAAAGGGGTCTTCTGCATCTTCCCACGCGGTGAACAGTATAAATATATGGTATAACCTGAAGAAATCAAGTTTGGATGTCTTGGAGCAGTTCACATGCGGAATATGCATGGTTCACATGTCGTTGCATGTCTCGAATCAGTTCCAGTGTTTCACCGGTGAAATCCTCCCGGTGCTTCTCAACACCGGTGCCGGGGGGGACCTCGAAACCTCGAGAAGATCACCACAGGGTGAGTGTTTTCACTTGGAACATCACTCATTTTGATGAGGAAACTGTTCTTCCTTGCTATTAGGATAAATCATGAATGAACACAACCAAAACCGACCGACCTCTTCGTCTGCCACTTTCAAGGCTTTTGCGTTGTCCACCTCAGATCGGGGGGGTCGGCCGCGGCTGCGCTGACGTTGCGACGAAAGTACAGCGAATGACATGGCTGGTTGAAAGGACTCACTAGGCCAAACATGGAATATGGTAGAAATATATATATATATGCAGATGCATATGTATTTACTAACTTATAGATACTAACTAGATTACCAGATAGACCCCCGCATCAACCACTCCAATGTATATGCCAGTGTCACTGCCAGTGTCTGGGAGGAGTCAAACAACTTCCTCCAGTTTGATTTGCGTTCCCCTACCAGGATGAACCGCATTCGGCGCCGTTTCTCCTTCGGCGCGGTTCGGGGAGACCTGTGAGCCTTGAACGTCGATATTCCTTACGAGTCGCACTAGTCAGTATATAGTTCAATTGACGAATGGTCAGTATTTCAAACCATGTTCAAATGTCCAGGTGGGGTCATCTATCTTTAACTGGTGGGGCCATCTTCCTTTCTTGCCGTCTCTTTTCAAGGTGAATCCAGGCGTTCTGCTCCAGCTCTAACTCAGATGCAACGTACCAGGAAATGCCATTGGTAAATCACGTGTTTGGACGACCTTCACTGCACATTACTTCGCATTGATTGGGCACCCATGGGACGGTAATAACAGAGACTCTGGGTGGCTTTCAAAGCACTGAACCCACTGAGATAGTCCCATGAAAGTAGGATAAATTTGGTTGTCGTCAGCAGGCTTGTGGTTTAATGAATTCCACATCAGTTTGAATCATTTTGATACATCATTTCACAGGTCTTCTTGAATACAACCAAGGAGAAACTATAAATCGAAGCGAACCAAAGAGACTCAAAAGTGTTCGCATAAGGATCTTTGTCTTGCTGACCGGAGCATGCTCAGTCGTTGGCATCTCATGGTGGGTTTCCGCCAGGTCAACGACGTACAACGACACTTGGGACCGGACAAAAATGCCCGTGACGATGTTGAGGCAGCAAAAGACCTGGCACCATCATGCGAAGGAAGAAACGCATGACCACCTAAAGCCCTCAGGACACTTCATAGCGGGACGATGTCCTGTTCTTGTGGTGCATACTGGTTCTTGCAACCGTCGTTTATCGTCGTTTGCATGAAACTTGAGTACTTATTTATATATTATATATATACAGGAACATCGTGTCCAGGGACGCGAGTCCTTTTGTTGATCATTCAGCACGAATCAAGCCAGCGACTTGCCACCTCTGGATGCTATACACGCGCTATATTGCAACTTGTTCCGCCTCTGGATGCTAGACAAACACCCATATAAGGCCTTATATTGCATCCTTTTGCCAGTCGTTGTTTGTTTTCAGCAGAGCTCGAACTTGGGCAGGAAAACACTTCGGATCCATGGAATGGAGTTCCAAAGCTTACAATTATTTTCCTTCACACCTTCAAACCAAATCCGAGCGCCACGCCCGATGTCATGCCCAGGTGTTTATGTATCTATTTTCGTCAAGATACGGTGAAGAAGACATAGGCTGAGAAGATGTATTCCATCCTCAGCTCTCGATTTGAAAACGACATGACTTCACTTGCTGATCTTGCTGTTGATTACTGGCCGCTCGAATGGACCAGGATTTCTGCTGGGTTTCGGAACCATTGGTAGCCTACCACAGTGGGAATTAGACCCACTGGCTGCAAGTATATATAGAAGTACATTATAGTTGTCAATGGCTCTGGATGCTGTGCAATCTGATGGGCTAGCTAGCGGGAAAATCATCAACAGGGCAGCAGTGCTAGCCGATCAGCCCTCTACCACCTTCTTGCTACGTAGGTCTTTCTTGGGCAGTTTCTTCCGCACCACCTGCCAGGCAGATGCAAAAAAACACAAATCACCACAACACAACGAGTTTTCTTCATAGTTCTCCTCCGAGTTTTCCTCAACGGTCTCCTCCCAGTCAGCCGTTTTTTTTCCGACGGGCCAGAGCCGGCTCATGGGCGATCATGTTTTCCCGAACATGGGCGGCTTCTTTCGAGCGGAACATCCAGGTTTCTAGGGAAAATTCCGAGGAAGTTTCGTGTGCTTCCTTATGGGAAAAAAACACACAGAAGAAATAATGAACAACTCTATAACACTTGGTGGTCCAGTTGTCCAGAGTGTTGGTCTTGGCAAAAAGCATTGAAAGAAAACAACGATGAACAACACTGGGTGGTCCAGAGTGGTGGTGTCGGCTTGTCTCGGCTTCTCTGTCTTGATTAGTACGCGTCGCCCAGGCGAAGAGTCTTCGCCCAAGGATCCACCCGCCCACGGAGGAGAGCACCAGAACAGCGTTGTCCCAATCAATTCCACCGGAGATGGCTTTGTACCTCGTCTCGAGATGAGACTCAAAGAGTCCAAAGTGAGTGAAAAACCCATCGACGGACGCGCACGAAAACGCGCATGCTCAGCACGTGGACGGCGACTCAACGACTCATCGAATCGGGCCAGGTGAGTCCACGTTCATCAAACACGCAGGGTCAACTGGTGTGAAAGCGGTGAATCACTTCGAATTGTTCTGTGGAGTTTGCTTGGTCTCTCCCCAGAACACGGAGACATAGAAAATGCAAACACCAAATTGCGGTGTCGACCCTCCTAGATTCCTAGATACCAACCCATCAGTTTGACTAACATATTTACCAATCAGTGAGGGTGGTTGACCTGGGGTCAATGTAGGCATATGTTCCGGTGTCATGGATTGTCTGGGTATGTAAACGGTGATCGTTGGCTTCACCCTCTGCGACGTCATCCTGCTCCTCAGGCCCTCAGTTCAAGTCTCTAAGAGAACATCTGAAGAAACACATAGACCAACACCACACAGTTTGGATGGATATTGGATGGTAAACACATGTAAACACCCATGTTGCATTGTTCGAAAAGAGCGAAAACATGATGTCTCTTCAGTGCCTGGCAACACATGCGGACAATGACCTCCACTCTTTCATGCAAGCTACGTATGTATGGACTGGGAGACTACCACAAACACCCCCATAGTGCCTCATGTAATTATATATTAATGACGACGGTGCATATTTCAGAAAAAAGGGAACCCCTTGGATTTGCTCTTTGCAACGTGCTGCAGTCTGGAGACCAGAGCTTCACCTCTTCCCGGACGGCACGTCACTCAGTCCCTCCGGCCCACTGCCAATTCACCCTCCCAGCGTCCAAACACCGTCCGTCTTTGTCCTCGTCCCGAGAATTCGGCACCAGGAGCCCCTAGTAGCGTCCTTGCTCCTAGTAGCGATGCCAGGAGTCCCTATAGTAGCTTCTTGTTACTAGTAGTAAGGACAGGAGCCCCCAGTAGCGTCCTTGCTCCTAGCTCCAAGGGGCAAGGTGAGCATGGTGCGGGGTAGCGAACCGAAATGCTGCAGCCTCGGCGATGAGACAGGCTGATGAGAGGGGTCAATCTCGTGACAGGCGGATGCGGACAGCCCATGTGGTTCCTGGGTTTATCACAAGAAAGAGATGTCCACATCCTTTCCATCATCTTCGGAATCACACTTCAGCGCCAGCCACTTTCGCAGCCTCCCCAGGAGGAACCAGCAGGAACCCAGCACTCCATGCTGCAATTTCAGCATCAAATGACTCTCCGTGGTCCAGTTTCCGCCGCAATTTTGGTGCTTTCTGATCACCTGTACTTCCTTAAAACCAAAGCCCATGTTCGACCCCTGTTCCATGTTGAATTACCTCAATGATACTCAGTGGCTTAGGCACCAGTGGTCTCCAATGACATGGGTCTTGCCCATAGGGACTTAGGCGCCATTAGCCGCTGTTTCCTGACCAAACAAAACGACATGCCCTGAAAACTGCTGCAACTGGTGCCTTTTCCAGGATGTTGTGGTCAAGTCGAGATCAAACACATCCGGCCTGTATGGGGTCATCTACCCCGCCAGGACCCCAACTGGGGCTTTGAGCAATCATTTCTAGGACTGTAATGCTCCTGTACAGTATGTCCTGCAGTCACAAATATACAACTCTTGTTTATGCCGTAGGCGAATACCTTTTCAACAATCTTTCTAATGCATCTAGCACGGCTTCTATCAACTTGGGCACCAATACACCATACATCACCATACCATATCCAGCCCCAAGGACACACGCCGCTGGGCCACGAAATGCCAAGACACAGTTCTGAATGTGCGGTTGCAGCTGGTGATGAATTCTCCTTATGAAGCGAGGCGAAGCTACTAGTACCATCTGCGGGATAGATCTAGTTGATTCCAACATCAAACAAAAAGGGTAGAATAGACTGGAAGAAGCCAACAACAAGCCTGCCACAGGGATCCACCGGCACGTTCATGAAGGAACTCAAGGGGTGGTTCACGAATCATGTAAGGTCACACAAATGTTGGAGATCACAAAGCACCTGCAATACCAGCATCATCTTCAGCTGTGGTTCAGATCAGTGGACAAATTGGATAAACTGCCAGCTCTAGATTGGCACCTTGCGTGTCAACTGTGTGCTTTCTCATTGTTCAGAACCGCTCGCATCGCCGGAAACATTCGGAAAGTGTCCAGGAAATCCAATGACAGCTGCATAAAAAGAACGCCGAAGAGGAAGTTCACCAAGACCAGCAGGAGCAGTGCCCAACAAAGTGACTGCCGAGTCAGCGCGAGTCGGACGCGTCGCTGGGATCAACATCACCAATGGTCACCCTGGACATCACCACACGATGAACCAATTAGCAAGATGAACCAAAGAACACAAGGCAGTGACGGCGGTGTGACCTGATTGTGATTGAATCTTCAAGAACAAGTCGCCCCTGTCGCCCCACACATATTGAATATATATACTAAAGGTTTCACGCCCTGCAGAAAGGACGGCTCCAATGATTTCGGTGCGTCGCCGTTCTTTTCCGGGTGGGTTCGTGCGTTGAAAGCTGGCAAAACAGATCCTGCGACTGGGGTAGCATTCGGAGTTACGTGGCTGTTGACATCGATTGACAAAGTGAGGCGGTACACCTCATGGAAGCTGGGTCTGGTCATACAAAAAAACACTACTCAGCAGTGACGTCAAGGGCTAGGTCTAGGTTCACTTGGTCCTTGGAGCAGCAGGGTTGAAACACAACATGATCAACTCATGCTGACAGTTTGAGGATTTGCACCAGTGTCATCAAACATGACGGGAGACGCCTTGAAGACTACAGGAGGAAACAACATGGACCACTAGACATTGAATGATCAACCAACCACACAGCATTTGGATAGTCCTGTGGCATATTGGGGTATTTCATGTCTCCCTTCAACATATCATTTTGAGTGCTCCCTTGAAAATGGGTCATCGGGTCAGTTCGGCGGAGGTCATCGGGTCGGCCAGTTGTCCGAACCAATGATGTCCGACCTTGGGAAGGATATGGGTCAGAACAGAGGGGCCAATGCCAGGTATCCTTTGGGGATGGGTCGTGACCACCATGTTCACCCGACCAGGCCAGCCGGTAGTAGCGAGTTCGACCTTCCAAGTCGGTCCACCGGTCGGTCTCGGGTCTCCCCTCTACTCAGCTTCGGTGCCATCCGACCTTCGCGGAGCCAATCACGCCATTCACCATGACCTCGCGGGGATCAAGACACGCGTCACATGAGAGATCACTGTCTCTTCGATGGCAACAAAAAATACAGAGTTGTCTGGAGGGTAGCCTTCTGACCACATGTTTACATGTGTTTACCCTTACACTATCACATGACCTCAACAAAAATCTGACCTCAACTGCAAATTGGGCTCCTTCGCACCCCAGCACACCAGGGACCTTGGGCCAATCCATTTTCCCAACCATGCCCGACCAAAAGAGGCCCTGTTTAAACAAAATGGGCAGGTTTAGTTTGTGTGTGTGTTCAAGGTGGAAAACATTCATTTCCTGGATTTGGTGAAATTTGTGGCACATACAGTAGAAATTCTGTGTGTTATTCTTCAACACAAGACCCAGTTTAGTGATCAGCCTGTTTACCGATCTTCAATTCCATGTTTTATGATGTTGTTTGCCATTCATGACAACTCCAAATTTGTGCATTGACATTTGTATAGCAAGACATTGCCTGAATTTTGTCAACTTGTTCGCCCTGGTCATATTTAACTTACCGTTCTTAAGGTTGAGGACGTGGTGATGCTATAGACACCCCTTAGGGGGCTCTGAGATCATCTGAGTTTTATGTTCGTTTCTCTTGAAACTTGAAACACCCCACTCGCCCGGACACTGAGGTGCAACACCCGGTGCCCAACACTCGCCACTGGTTGCGCAACCGGGCGGCGCGGAGCTCGGAGAAGAAGCGTACCACACGAACGATGCGCAGGATCCGCGCCAGGCGAACCATGCGGAGGATCTTCAGCCCTGGCCAAGCAGTGCGGGAGGGGGCGAAGGCGAAGGCACCAAGCGGGGTAAGCTGGAGAGGGAGGAGAGGGGGAGGCATGGCGCTTTTTGGTGTCCGTGTTGAGGTGATGGTGGAGAGGTACATGGCTGAGTTTTCCTCCGTTTGAAAGAAGATTCTCTTGGGTTCCGAGCATCCCGGCCTGAGATCTGGACACTGCTATTCAAGAACAGGGTGATGAGCTCCTGGCAGGAGATCCGTGCCACATGGATGGATTTTGTTGAAGAGTAGATAGCAGAAATTCCTGGGCCCAAGAGTGTTAAAGCATGTGGTCTCACAATTAATTGGAATCCACACATGCATCCGAGACAGCCATATATTTATATATATTTATATATATATATATCCCAAGGGTGTGCACCCGAATGATGTGAACTGAGTAAAGTGAGCACCTGTGGCACTAAGTATATACAGTATATACGGTATATGCGTAATAAGTATGTTGAATAATTTTCAGCAAATTGTTCATGGTAAGCATCACTCCATGTTCTCGAATGTCTGAAAGTTCCTTTTCTTGTGTCCAAGTGAAGCCTATAGAAAATGATATATTTTAAAGTTCTGCACCTACCCCCAGAAAAAAAAAAAAAAAAAAACGTGTATATGATTGTATATGTATACTGTAGATAGATTACACAAATCAACAAAAACAAAAACATATCGAATCCATCGAGCCTCTGCAATAACTTATATATGGTGCAAACTTCAAGAAGAATACAGTAACACATCTGACAACCCAGTATTTGCTTTGGATGGGTTCCATTTGGAGAAAAACACACCTGCCACTGCCACTAAAGTCTAAAGACTGTCCTGGGGGAAGATAGAACATTCAGTCCTGATGTGACTCACTACTCTGCAAGGAGTACAAAAGCTGCACTGTTATGCAATCCAAACTGCTGAGCGGATAGTGGATCAATTCGACAACAAGAACTCGGACATGATGAGTCTGATGAGTTGTTAGTCTGATCTTGCAAAGCAATACCTTGGGTGATCGATACGTGTCTGCACTGCTGGTCCGACATGTATAACCTGATCTCAAACAGTCTCAGGCGTGTAAGCAGTCTCAACTGCGAGTGGCTGCAAAGTGCCCAACACTCATTCAATAGATCTGAAATGGGATATGAATGGGCATCTGGCACTAATATATATATATATATACGTATTATATATAACATCATATAATATATATATATACCTTTTTTATTTGTCTCTCTCCCCTCCAGACGGGGGTTTCTCCGAGAGGTTCATGTCTCCGAGAGGTTCATGTCAAGTTTTCGATGTCGCTGGATGTTCGGGGGTGTGGGGGTGGGGGGGGTATTAGCACACGAACATGGTTTGATGTAGTTTCTTTCATGTTAAGTTGATGTGGATTTGCAAACACGTTTCGTGCTGTTTCTTTCATGTTAACTTGATGTCCGGGTGGGGGGGTTATGGATATGTTTCTGTTTTGGAGATGATTTCGGATCAAGGCTTTCAGGTTGCTCTTGCTTTTTCTTACGTTTTGTTGCTTCGCATCGCTGGCTGCGGTTTCCATTTGACTCATTTGTTTCGAATCAATCCCTTCACTTTGGACAAGTGGCTAGATATCCTTTCCACCTACTCTTCGGCTGAAGACATTGTTTCCTTTGTTCGTTCTTGTGCTTTGATTCCTGATCGTCATTGGTTTGCCTCCAAAAGTGGCGAGCAAGGGACATTCAGCCGGTGCTGAATCGTTGCATCAAACATCATGAAACAGTTCTGCACGTCCAGAAGAAGCTCAAGCGTGGTAAACATGTCGCGGGTGTGGACGGCTCTCCGGCCCTCCACAAAGCTGCTAGCATGGCCGGCGGCCATGCGTCGCTTCAATCCCTGGAGTGGCCCATTTGCGTTTCCTTTTTACACCACTGGGAGCGATTGCAAAAGCTGGATTGGAGCGTCCACATTTAGATCTTCTCCGAAAGCTTTGCACAGATGATCTCTGCGAAGAGCGGCAGGATAGCTTCAATCATTCTCTGCGCGGGTGACAATGCGGCCGAGACTGTGGCGAGTGTTTCAAAGAAACAGCTGCGCCGCTTAAATCTTTTGTCAGCCGATGCCAGAGATGCCATTGAACATAGGAATCTCTTGGCTGTGCACCGCTTGAACAAAAAGCCTGGCTTGGAGAGTGTCATGGAAGCGTTGGGACTCTTCAGGCAAAAGGCGTCGCAAGGGCTGGTAAGTCCAGCTGCTTGCTTCCAGAAGCCTCTGTGGAAGTTGTGAGAGGAGTTTGACATGGAGGATTGGGTGTGGAAAAACATAGTTTTCCAAGTCCAAACACCTTCTGAAGAGACATCAACACATCGAAAACAAGCAAAAATGGCTGACTATCAAGGTGTGCCTTTTCAATGATGTTCACAATGTATTGGTTTTTACAGTAGAAAATGATGGTCAGTCGTTTTGCATGGCGAACCCCATGGTTTTTCACACTTTTGGTAGGTTCGTAGGACAATGTCTCAAACCTGGAAACCTCTCCTCAGGCAGTTTCACTCAGATCGGGTTTTTGGGAAACTAAAAAATCATTGCATGCAAAGTCAACTTGCGCGAACAAAAACGAAATATGTTCGCAATATTGTACGTTCAAAAGGACCACGAGTCATGGCAAAACAAATGCCGAACCCCAGCAGGTTGAAGGTTCACTGCAGTTGTGGATGCAGCTCGGGGAAACCCCCCGTCTCCACCGTCCCTCTCTCTCTCTCTCTCTCCTCAAACCGGACATGCCTTCCTTTCACACGAGAGATCGCCACGGTCCTCTCCCACAGCGATGGACACCAGGATGGTGTCCAGGATGTTCCAGTGGATGGAGGCATTCCTGGATGGCTCGAGTGATGGATTGGACGGAGGATGTCGAAGCCCTGCCCCAGATCTGCAAGTGAGAAAACACACCCATGGCCCATGTAGGTATCTTTGGGGTCTCGTGAACAAGGGATGTACGTATCTTCTGGTTTTACCATTCCTATTGGGATGTTCTATGAGATCCTATGGTTTGGAGTGCTCCTCTCCTAGTTTGAAGCACTCCAAAAACGACTGACTGCAACGACTGCAACAGCTGAACATATAAATTTCATGTGATTTACCATGAACATTGCATGTACATAGATTATATAGGGAATCCCACTGACCAACAGTCCCGTGTTTCTATGTTTCTTTTTTGGGGGATCCATCCAGCGGTTGGATGTTCTGGGCAAGCCTACCTTCCAATAGACATACAAAACATGAAACACAGATTTATGTGTGCTGGATCCTTGGTTTTGTTACCATCTACCTTGTGAGATTCGACCGGGAAAGGGCTCTGAAAATCAAACATAAATCATCCCCAGTCATAACCAACCGGCCTGGTGTGTGCACACGTTTCACGGGCCTGCTGCCTGCTCATGGTCGCTCCACAAACAGTGGACCAACACCATCTGCCTGTCCAGCCAAGACTCCGGCAGCTGAAAAAGAAGGCCTTTTCCACCAAAATCCGTAGAGCCAGCTCCAGCCTGAGTTTCTCATTCAAGCACCCGATAGCCGATGGCGGAGCTGCAGTTGGTATGTTTTTGGCAGCTCCAATCTCCTCATTGATGACTGTGCAGAGATTGGTGCAATGGTCCGGATGCTCTCATGCAACTGTGGATGGTCAAGTGGCCAGTGTCATTCAGTGGCAATCTGTCAATGAAATACTAGAGAGCAACAGAAATGAATGAATTGAATGAAAGCAAACCTTATGAAACATGTGCAAATGCCCTATTTTGAGTTCCGCTCACCCATCCTCTAACTCCGGTGCGGCAAAAGTAGCGTGAAAGCCACGTTGAAGCAAGAGTTGCACACGCGAAAAAACATGGGCTGGGGAGATCCAATGTTCATCCTCAGCTAGCACAAAACCTGTGGCCAGAAACTAAGTCCAGTGGTGCATTGTGTTGATGAATGGAAGTGGACAATTGGAAACACCATTTTTCCATGTTTGTTGCAGAAGTGACAAACCTTCCTGGCGTCCTTTCGTTTGACATTCGAACTGCTCTGTGTTGCAGCTCTTGTTTTGCGAAAACGAGCTCCTGTCACCATCTATATTCTTCTATCCTATAGTCGTAGCCTCTTCAGGCTTCTTGCCAATCTGTCTAAAACACTTCTGAACAAGACATCTACTTCCGGCACTGAATCTAAGTGCCTTCTCCGTTTGGCGTTTGGCCCCTCCTTCAAAGATGTTTAACTTTGTCCACGGACTTGTCTGCTATTGCCAAACAGGTTGGGCTTCACAAACATTTTGGTCCCAAGTGTCACCGGTGTGAAACTACACGGTCCGGTGTGGTGTTTCACACCCCATTTCCATGCAGGTCGCATGCTCCAATGGGCTTCTGCTCCGATCAAGAGAGCACAAAGCAGAATGAGCACCGCGCAGAACCACTCGAAATTGGAGTTCCGTACCTTTCGCTCGAACACCGAGTCTCTCCACGGAGAGAGACTCCACCGGCGGGGGGGGGAGACGGCAGGAGTCTCGCGGTTTTATCAGGCGCCACGTCGGAACAAGCGCCCTCAGCGTTTTAGAGGAAGAAGGGGGCTCTGGACATATGGAGGTGACTCTGGACTATCAGCATCCGATGGATCCACCGTCAGGGAGACTCTTGGATGTCGGTCGGGTCCGGTCGTAGCTTCTCCGGTGGATTGGTGGATCCCTAGGGGGTGAAGCAGTTTGCCTCTTCTGCGAGCAAGGCTGAGAAGGCCAAGTCGATTGAAGGTTCGTTGGTTCGTTGATGGAGGGGAGCTCTTCCACGTTCTACCGAGAAGGCCCTGGTTCTGATTAACCCAAGACTGTCTACACCAAATATACCAACACTAGGAACCACTCCGCCTGGTCATGTAGGTCATGCTTTGTTCACACATGGCGTTGGGCGAAATATTTTGGGGGGGAGCAGGATCTGGATGGTGATAGAAACGACACAGGAGCTGACGGATGGTCCGAGTCGAATCCGCTTGGGGAGGGAAACTGGAGAAAAGGGTGAGGTTCAAAGAAACCATTGTTTCCATGTGAGTTTTCAGGCGAAGATCCCACAGCACACATTGCGCTGGCATCCAAAGACCCTGTTACAGTATGCTGTGGTATGCTGCTGGAGTCAAAACCGCGCCCAGGGTGGAACATGGGAAAATGAGCAGCAGAATCTGTGGGCTTTGTAGCTCCTTCCATTCTTTTTTTTCTGACCAACCAGACGCTCTGGACCCTCATATGCAGGGGTCGGACCCTCATATGGAGGGGTCTGGACCCTCAAAACCCTACGGTTTTGAGGGCCCGGTCGGGCTGTGAACGGAGCGTCTGACCACTGACTCCCCCAGTTTCGCGTGGAAGAGCGTGTTTCCCAGGCTGCTCTTTTTCCACCGTTTGAAGTTGGAAAGCCAATCCCCCAAAATGCTTGGGCAGGTTCTCCGGAAAAAGATCTGCGTGAAGACAAGGTCACACTGTTCAACGGATTGGGGATTGGTCTAAAGGGAACCTCTACAGGACAACCCATGAGGTTTTCACCCCCAAAACAATGTGTGGCGTTCCTGTAGAATTTCCCTTCAAACAATTGTGGGACTGTTGGTTCCATCTTTGATGTCTATGTTTTCTGGATTTAGTATTTAAATTGCTTTACAGTAATATGATTTAATACTGCCCTCCTCTGCGCCTGATCCTCCATGCTTTGCGGCCGATTCACAAGGTGCTTGGCCCATCGTCGCCATGCCGGAACTTCTTCCAGGAAGATCTGGCTCTTCTTGCGATGTTCCTGAGGCAAAACAAAACAACTTGTTCTGTTTGTGGTTTAACAGTAGGTTTGTATGGATAATTAGTTATATAAGTTACTATATAAGTTGCATCATTGTATAATATGTTGTATTCTGCTTGTATTCAACAAAATATTCTGATCATTCACATTTGCTCAGGTGTCTACACTGCTCTAAGAATGTCCTGACTGCCGTGATTTCGTGATCCGAAGCGTCGGCCTTGGGGGACTCTGTTCGTCGGAGCTTGTGGTCAAAGGAGAAGCTCCCAGAAAGCCGAATGGGCCGTCGTCCCCCCGGTGAACGAAACCAACAAACACTGAATACACACACCATGATGCACACGCGTCGATCCCCTTGATGCCTTAGGCACCTGCAAAAAAACGTGGAGGTGTCAGCTGTTTGGTGGTGTGATCCAAGAGACCTCCAGATCAAATTACGTGCAGCCAAAAGGAACATGCTACACGAACCATGAACCAATGGGCCCCTGAGTCTGACCATTTCCCTAGTACAAGGGGGGGCCTTTCCTCTAACTGCTCAGCTCAGCCATGATGGTCTGAGGGAGTCTAATTAACCACCGAAAGGATCCAAAAGGGTTGAAATGGGTTAAATGGGTGTGTATAAACATCGGGACACCTCCCATGAAGGAAGATGGACCAATCCTGCTCATTGGGCCAAAACAGACAACCCTATTCAATTGAAACCCAAATGTCTCGCAGTCTTTCAACTTTCTCACTCGACAAGTACCGATGAGCCGAGTGGCCAACCAGTCTTTCACGCCTTTCCTAGGCCGTCCGGAAACGATTTTGGGTCTCAGTCACTTGGATGCTTGGAGCACTGCAGATACAGTATGGCCTAGATCTTCCAACTTTGCATGTTTTTGCCGTTGGGCTTGTTTTCACAGATTAAAAGGCAGAAATTCTGCACAGTCGGAAGAACCTGGTATGACCTCAAAGCATTGGGGGAAGGACTTTGATGACAGCAAATGTATGCAAATGTTGACCATATCGCCCACAATTTGACCTCCGCTGCTCAACACGTTGACAATATCTATGATCACATCATGGTAGATTCTGGTCAATCCAAAAGATCAGCCCTGCCAGTAGTTGCCTCACGACCAGTCCAAAAAACAAAAACAACATAATAAACAGCATTCAACACGTTACTTTCACCTTTTTTATCAGTTCTCTGGGGAAGAATCAACCCAAAAAGCAAACCAACAAAGACTGATTCAGCAATACACATGCTTGAGAGCGTGCTTGAACACATTGCGAAATCAACCACCGGCCGGACCCGTGTCATCCGACGGGGACTTGCGACCTGGTGGTGGCTGGTCGGAGCCAAGGGGCACTTTGTTCTTTTCCAGCTTGAATCTGGACTTGGCACGCTGTCCATAGGTAGGATCCTCCTGGTGAGAAGAAGCAGATCCCAAATCCATCACTTCACGGATGTCCCCCCAAAAAGAACCATTCCGATGCCAAGCCAAAGAACATGTCCAAACATCACCTGCTCAAACATAGCCAAGGTCCAGGCTTCAAATACCAATGAACGTCGACGGGCCATCACCTTCATCCAAATCCAGTTCAGTGATGTGTGTTCCGGTTTCATCGACGAGAAGGCCATCACCTGATTCCCTCCTCGGGGGTCTCAGAAGGAAGTCGCTCTGGGAGATTCAATGGGGCCAATACTAGGGTCCACAGGCACGGACCCCCGTGGACTCCCGAAAAGACTGGCTAGGCTAGCACTGGTTGGAATCCCCAGTGGTTGCTATCCATTTGGGGGGTTGTAGCGTAAATTGGCAACCATTTTGATCTGTCTTTTGGATTCTACAGGCCTCCTGTTGTTTTGGCTTGTCGGGCGCGTTTAGCGGAAGTATGCGGACGTGTTCACCCTCTTGACACGAGCTCGTTGAATCTGCCGAGATCGAGTTGGGCGAGCTCCTCCTCGTCGGCATCAAACTGGTCTCCACCTGGCGGATCACTGGTCGATTAAAACATAACATGGCCTCTTTTGTGGACCCAACGACGCCGAACACTTTTGAGCGGGAAAAGACTGTTGGTGTTTGGATTCTGTGGGATTTTGATCCCTGGCTACGTCGGCACAAGAAAGGGGACCTCTATGAAACATATCATATTATGCAATATTATGCATACATAGGAACAAAAAAGTAGGTGGTAGCTCAAGCCCCCACACACACACACACTGACTGGACTGGAGGTTGGTTATATAAACACCACAAAAATAAGCACACAAGATGACATCGGCCAGCGGCTGGTTCTGCGACACGATCCACTAGGCTAGTCTAGCCACATAGGTATCATCAGGTCATGGGTCAACCATGGGCGGGGTTGGACGGTTGGACATGCCGAAGCACCTCGTTTTGGAGCTAACATTAGACACCCCACTGCAGGGCCTTAGGCCCTTAGGCTGTTGAATCAAACCCCAACCAGGTCGTTGTGACTCATGAGGTGACTCGGCTCCTTCCATGTCCTTCCCCTGTGCGATCGACCCGCTCCGCAGCCCGACCTGTCCAGGCTTCCAGCGTGGAGCCCGGGGGCGCCGGCGGGAAGTGGTCTCAGTGGCCGGGTCAAGGGACCAGAAGTGCCCGGCCGGGTCGAGCTGCGAGCTTTTCAAGTAGAAGTCTACACCACTTGGGTAGGTGTTTGGAACATGGGCTCTACAGGGGCCATGCCATTCACTTCCATGAATGGATAGGGGTTGAATTAGTCCCACCAATATTGATAGTTCATGATGATGTTCACTTTCTGGACGGATTCCACAGAAATTGTCTTATCAAACAATCCGCCTAAGTGGGAATCTGGCAGACCCACAATTAAAAAAATAGTCTAGTTGTTTTTATGACCGCTACCATGCTACCTGTCTAAGACACCAAATACCCTCTTACTCCACGAGGATTTCTGCCCAGATGCGGGAGGAGACCTGCCGGGAAAGCTGTCGAGAGAATGGCTTCTCCACCGCCTTGGGATTCTCAGCCTTCTCCTCCGACCAGAAGGCCTGGAATTCGCCAGCGGCTCATGTGTTCTGACCCAAAGGTCAACCGGAGATTCCTGTGAAAACAAGGTCAACCGAAGCTGACTACGTCGACTACGTAGGTCGCTCATGCAGTACCAAAGATATGATTGACGGAGGTTGAGGTTAATGTAATTCTCGAAAGGAACGTGTGCTTTGCATGAGTTCTTTGCAACATACCTACTGCCTACTGCGCCTCGGACGCCTGAAAGAACAGGAACACCATTCAAACGTTGGCAAGAAGTGCAATCGCATGCAGTTTGTCCACTACAACTAAGAGGCCAAACAAGTCCTCGGTTCTGAAAACCCCCCGCTGCATGGACTCCCGCCTCTGCGAGGCTCGCCTCACGTGCGAGGCTCGCCTCACGTGCGTCCGCAACAGGCCCTGACCTCGGAGGAAGCGAGAGAGAGAGGTTGTTGTTGTCTACAGCTCTGCAGGTTGGTCACGATAGCGTGTTTGGGTGCTCCGGTCAACCGGTTTGGCTACTCAATTCTGAGGGAACTGAGCGGCAAACTTCGTGGCTTAGGGAAGGATCCGGGGATTCCTTTGGATCCATGCCCTCATTCCTTCGATTTCCTTACGTAAATATCTGAGCGTCGGCAATGGTTGCTGCTATGTCTTGCATGCTTTCCTCAACCTATTGGAGTCCAGGCCTCAAAGGACCTCGAGCAGGACGACCCGACGAAAAGGTCACCCGGGGGATTCAACCTGCTAGCTGACTGGGGGATTCAACCTGCTAGCTGACTGACGGGGTCTTTCCTGAAACCCTCCAGAATGAAAAAGAATGAGAAGTACTGAGCACTGAAAAGTTGAGAAGTACTCAATCGCTTCACCTGAGTGGATGACCCTTGTGTGCAGGTGGCGCAACAACCCTCTGCAACCGGTCCACCACCGGTCCCTCCGCCACTCCCGTCAACGGCTGCGCCTGAGTTGTTCCAGCTCTTCTCGCACCGCCTCGGAGAAGCTCTCGCGGCGTTGGAGCGCAGGGACCGGTCCCCCGTGGGGAACGGCCTGGAGTCGACCTGTTCAGACCTCAGAATAGGGGTACCGTATGGTACGGTCGGACTGGTTTGATTGGGGGTCATGTCCGACGGGAATTCACCAAGGCCATCCAGGTTTCATGCATGGTGAGCTGAAATATGCTGAAATGGAATGGCAATCCACGGGTGATTCATGGGTATCACCCCGTGTCACTGGCCCAAGTACGGAAAACTATTGGATGGTCAAGTCTCCTGGAATGGTCACTAAGTTATGGTATCTCGGACCATGTGTGCTAATTGATTTATATATGGCTTCTTATGAATCACGCGTACGACAGGCAGATAGATGGTGCATTTCCTGAAAGGATCCACAAGGATCAGGTGTTTGACAAGACTCTACGATGTTCTCAAAAACCAGAAGATGGATCGTACAGTCGATATGATTCGATATGGGTTCCGGGCATTTGGGGCTTTTCTTTAATTAACTCCTATATGCAAAAGGGCATTGATTAACTCATTTGGGGCTTTTCTTTGAAAACTCGGTCAAGTCCCAAGTCTCGTCGTGGGACCTTTGTAATAGACGTCGACAGCTTCGCGACCATCCTACCCGGCGGCAAACATCCCCTTCAAACCCTCAAATCTATATTCAACATTTAATTGGTAAACTCAGTTCTCACCTTGCCAAGTCAGGGCACCTTCCCTGGACTTCCGAATCCAAACGCGCCTGACCCTCCGTTGTGCGGCGCCGGCCTTCCGCGTTCTTTTCGCACGGCGTGGTCGGCGTGGTCGGCGCGCGGGACCGAGCCGGCGCCTGTGCGGTGGTGCTGTGGATCTTCTCCACCAGGCCGTGGAAGAGCTTTTCCATCCGAAGCTGATGCCTCATGAGCTCCTCAGATCCGCGTGTTGCGCGACTCCACCAACCGGACAGTCTCTGTCTGGACCCAACGAAGAGAGAGGGAGTTTTTTTGGAGAGCCTTGTGTAAAAGCCAAAGGCCGCGGCCCAAATCAAGGACCTCGGGGGCCCAAATCAAAGGTGACGCACCCCGAAGGCTGAAGAACCGCTGCGGTGACGCAGAACTCGAGCGAGCGGAAGCCGGACGAACGGACAACGGGACGGTTTACCTCGCCATGGACAGCGGGATTCAGAGTCACTGGACGATGTCACACATGATGTGAAAGCATCAAACGCAGATGTCCAAGCGCAAGGATCATGGAAGTCTCTTCACCATAAATGACATGCATCTGACAGATGGACATGTCTGTGAATCAGGAGCCATGGGAGCGAGAAAAAATCACCCTATCTCGCGTCCATGACAGCCAGATGTGCAGTGCAACCTCCTAATTACTTTATTTTTTGCATGTTCACTTAAACCCTCTGACATGCCTTCAGTCCTACCTCTGTTTTGGTCAGGTCATGGTGGAACTGGCATAAGTGACGCGAGCCATGAATTCCTACCTGACGATGCCCAGGCACCCCTCGCAGGCTTTCCGGCGGGGCCACAGAGGGGGGTCTGAGCTCCTGGTTGCGGGGCATCATTGGATTCTCTATGTTACAACATCTACACAATGAAACTTGATTTTGTGTTGGGAAATCCGATACTTCATGCGCTTCATGAGTATAATTGGATTACTTTTTAAGATTGTTAGGGACATTCAAACCAGGACGAACAATCTAAGCATCCAAGTCTATACATGTGCTATCTGGGAGACCCAAGGCTTCATCGGAGCTCCTGGGAACCTTCCAAACCTTTGTTGCGGCGGGCTCAACCAACTTCTGCGGGCAATCTTCGAGCTTGGTCGACCGAATGTCTTTCTCGCACGGATGAACGACACGCGAACGGATGCTTCTGTTGAACTTGTAGAGCACTTACAAACCAAAGGGATCCCTCATCCCAATGGTTGTAATATACACATTGCCAGGCGAAAGTGTTTGAAACAAGCTTGTTCGCTTGACTTTAGGAGAATCTTCCTGGAAAGCTGATGGATCATGAAATACCATGAATTACTGTAGGTCCCATAAGATCTTCTGACACTTCGGCTGCTCCTCCGAAGTGAGGAGAAAAAGCAGGTGATACGGTGATTTGATATGAATTGTCTGGGATGAGGTCGTTCCTCTATCCTTAGGGCTCCGGTCATAGCTCCAAGGTAGGTATGGAATGCTGTGGACATCAAATGCCATCCCAAACACCGAACTGCTGAAACACCGATCTCCTCGGAACCTGGAGAGCTCGGGCTTCGCGGCAGGTCAGTCTTCGGGCTCGGCATGGCTGGAGGGAAGGTGCGGCACTGGCAGATATAGCAGGGGGTGGAATTTCTCGACCCCTATGAAAAGTGACTAAGATAGATCGACCGATGACCGATACACATATTAATTAGGCATACATACATACAGAAGCCTATATTAAATATGAAGACGGTGTTGGAAACGCATCCCATGTGAGACCTTGAACACATTCTTTATTTCAGCAATCAGCTCGGACCTCGAGGTGTAGCAGGATTGCTCGGATGCGAAGACCCGAAGAACTGGCAACGTTGCCTGCGCAAAGAGCAAAGCTATACTGTAGGGATTAATAAATAATGCTGGAAGCATTCTGAACTGTTACATCTGAAAATGAAGCTCCTCCTCTTCGTGTATGCTCCAGGGTGACCTAATTACGAGTCTAATTGCTATTTGCACCCGGGAAGATGTTCATGAAACCTGAAAATGGACCTTTGGAAAACGTTGACCTTTCCCTGTACAAACAGTTTTTGTTCAGGTTCCATGTTAATTAATCTGTTAATTGCCGTGTGTCACCGGCTTCCGGTTCATCTTGGATCTTCAACATGTTGCCTCCTCTTTCTGTGGCTTGAGGCAGGCATGAATCCAAACACTCGATCACTCCTGGGAATGCACTCTGCAATCACCCTGGTCCAGCCAAGGCCAGACCCTCTGAACATCAAACAGAAACTCCAGTGGTTTCATATGGTTTCATCACATTTCAGTCCCTCATGAAACAAATGAATCAGCAAGGTCCTGAGAGGGTACCCGCAGTACGAGTGTCCTGTCCAACATCTTCATCTGATCCGCGGAAAACGCCGATGTCTAACATCGTTTAACTGGACTCGGTTGGAAACCTGCACCAGGCGGACACAAGAAAAGGTCCAGGAAGATCAAACGCATGTACTCTCCAACCAGGTCTGTAGTTCAGTGTTATTGGGGCCTAACAGGTGTCAATTGGTGTCCTGGTACAGGACAACCTGCAAGGAAAAGGATCCAAAAGCACACAAAGGTCATGGAAAAGCAAAAGAATAATGGCTTGATTTGTGAATTTTGGTGACATCCAGTCTATAGCTGATATAATTACACTCCCTACAACAATTATGGAAGTGGAAATCCTCTGTTGGTAGAGGAACATGGTCGTCCAAGGGGCCATGTTCCACTTCCATGATTGTTTTCAAGGAGTCTAAGTCTATCTATAATATGTCATATATGAGCTCACCTGAACTTGGTCTCCTGAAATCTTCTTCGCAAAGTACCCTCTTCAGCAAGCTCCCTGTTCACGCTCAAAGCCACACACACACACACACCGGACCTTTTCTTCGTCAAATCATCAGGGATAAAACCGTCCGGCGCCGCGCGCGCAGCGTGCGCAGCGTGCGCAGCGTGCGCAGCGTGCGCACGGTTCCAACGAGGAGAAGATCTTAGGCAAGTTTCACCTCGCAATGGCGGCAAACACTCTGGCACTCTCAACCAAGGTCATGAATCGAATCGAGATACTTGTCATGTGTCGAGGTTGCAAAGGCATGTCTGGGCACTCAAACTTGGGGAGTTTGGGCTGAAAATCCTGAGTTCTCTACGTCGTTCTTTGGTTCTTGCGTGAGTTGAGTCAATCATGTAGTTATGGACAAATCTAGTCTGAGCATATAAAAGCTGGCTCCCTCAAGCAAACAGTTGAGAAATTCTGCAGCACCCTCACAAAAGGAAGCATATAAGACTTTTATATGACCTGTGTTGATCGCGATGTCACTTGCACTGGTCAAAGCCTCTGGACCATCTCCGATGGTCCAATTTCAAGTTGAACAAGACAAAACCACCTTGCAGATCGCAAAAACTCGTAAAATGATCGTAGATAAAATGACTTGATCCCAAACACTCCATGGAGGGCACATATAGATGTTCAAAACGTCACCCATAATTGCCTTTCCAGCAAAACATGTCGTTACGGCGTCGAACGACCGTGCTTTTTTGTTGCGGCAAGGAGGACACCGGCAAATTGTGTGGTAGCGAGGTGAGAAACCAAACTGAAACGGCGTTTTAGGGCGACCAAACGGCGAGCAAATGTGTGCAACAATTGAAACGGCTTTTGTTCGGATTACGGCATGATTACGGCATCTTTTTACTGAAGAGTTTGAAGATCAAGGACCTACTACAAAGTATTAACAAACAAAATAAAGAAATAAAGAATACCTAAAACCAACCAATCGTGGGTCAAAAAAAAAGTAGTTCAACAAAATGTAAGAAAATGGTGAGCAGTGAGAACAAACAAAACTAACATGCATCTCTACTGACTAGGCCAGAAACAACGAAATCCTGCTAAATGCAGCCTGAAACCTCGTATGCGTTTTACCATGTTTTACCCATCTAATCTTCCATCATAGGAAAAAAAAGCAAAGTTGTTTGGCTTGAAACGGCTGAAACAACCTGGAGCATCTTACAGCTTCCCCCGAAAGACCAACATCTTCACTGCATCACTTGTCTTGTTTTCACATGTCTTCTCCTTGTTTGCCAAGAAAAAGAATCTTCACGGCCTGCATGTGGGGTTTTCTGGCTGGAACCCAACTCCACCGGACTCCAGCGCCCACCTCGGGGAAAAGCTTCCGAAGCCCCTCCTCGGAGCTGTCGGCCAGGCCTCGTTCCTGGGCGTTTGGCCGGCCGCGGCCGTCGTTGGACTGCTGGACCCAAAAACGTACGTGGAAGGCCTTCCGTAGGGTTGACCATGGCCTCAATGTGTCCACCCTTCTTGCATGGCCTTCCAAGACCATGGTGGTTCCATGTGCTGCCGTGCACTTCGCGAACAATCCGAACACTCCGAACAACGGGAATGGTATAAACTCCGATCAGTTGTGGTGGCGGACCCGAAATCGATGGCAAATATGATCAAACATTCCAACCCCATGGAGGGTCTGGGTTCTCTTTTCACGGATTTATACGGAATGTGGGAGAGTTTGCTAGGAGGATCAACAAGGCTAAACAGATGGCCGTGGCCCCAGTTCTGCAGCTCTATCTCTCTCCCCCATGCGCGCGCCCGCGCCTCTTTGGAGCGCTGGTGGGGTCTGTTTCGAGCTTCAAATGAGTGAGAAGAATAGTTCGTAATACATTGGACATAAGCCTTTGGAGCTGCTGCTTGAAGCCCAAGGGATGGTGAATGGACACCGAGGGGTAGCCACCAATAGGCACCCCTATAGGTGTTCTGGTACGATCTTTCAACTATAGATAGTGGAAAGAACAAAAAAAGCATCTCAGGGGACCACAAAAAGGCGACACACTGGAATTCGAGTCCCTTTCTCTTGAAACTCAGGATCACTCCATTCGGTCGTACCAAACGTCTCCACCGGTCGACCGCGCGTCCGGCACTCCGAATGGGCAGCAAGAAACGGTGATCAAGCCGGTGAGCAAGCGCGCGGGTGTGACATCAAACCTTGGAGAAGACCGAGGAACAGAAACACCAACCCAGAGGAATGGTTTGGGGAACCGTGGATTACATACACATGGCACACCTCATCACCAATAAGATCCAAGAATGATGAGCTTTGGAGTTGGGTCTCCTGGTGTATGCAAATATGATTTAGATTTGGATAGTTTTGGGTGAAAGACTAGATGATATGTACCTACATGCAAAGGTT